ATAATGGAGAATGTATACAGAGTGTGAAGTTAAAATCAGAATTTTTCCAAGCATTTTTTTTTGCACACATTTGCATTTTAAGTTTCAAATCAGTGCAGAGTAGTTTTGGCTCTACACTGATCCCAAAGTTGGAGTGTAAATCAGTTACAACGGCAAAACTGATTCCAAAGCAAGATGGAGTCATTTTTGCTTCAATGTCCATTGAATTCAGCCTGCAGATTCATAAGACTATAAGATCAGAAGACATACGAGCAGAAATTAGGCCATTTGGCCCATCGAGTCTGCTCCACCATTCAAACATGGCTGATAAGTTCCTCAACCCCATTCTCCCACTTTCTCCCCGTAACCCTTGATCCCCTTGATAATCAAGAACTTATCTATCTCAGTCTTAAATTGTACTCCATGACCTGGCCTCCACAGCCTTCTGTGGCGGTGAATTCCATAGATTCACCACTCTCTGGCTGAAGTAGTTTCTCCTTATCTCCGTTCTAAAAGGTCTTCCCTTTACTTTAAGGCTATGCCCTCAGGTCCTAGTCTCTCCTACCAATGGAAGCATCTTCCCAACATCCACTCTGTCCAGGCCATTCAGTATTCTGTAAGTTTCAATTAGATTCCCTTCATCCTTCTAAACTCCAATGAGTATAGTCCCTGAGCCCACAAACGCTCCTCATATGTTAAGCTTTCCATTCCTGGGACCATTCTCGTGAACCTCTTCTCAACCCGCTCCAGGGCCTGTACATCCTTCCTGAGATATGGGGCCCAAAGCTGCACACAATACTCCAAATGTGGCCTGACCAGAGCCTTATAAAGCCTCAGTAGTACATCCCTGCTTTTATATTTAAGCCTTCTCAAAATAAATGCCAACATTGCATTTGTCTTCCTGACTACTGACTCAACCTGCAAGTTTACCTTGAGAGAATCCTGGAACTAGAACTCCCAAGTCTCTTTGCACTTCAGATTTCTGAATTTTCACCCCATTTAGAAAATGGTCCATGCTTTTATTCTTCTTACCAAAGTGCATGACCTCACACTTTCCCACATTGTACTCCATCTGCCACTTCTTTGCCCACTCTCCTAACTGGTCCAAATCCTTCTGCAGCCTCCCTACCTCCTCAATACGACCTATTCCTCCACCTATCTTTGTATCATCTGCAAACTTAGCCAGAATGCCCACAGTTCCTTCATCTAGATCATTAATGTATAAAGTGAAAAGTTGTGGTCCTAACACTGACCCTTGTGGAACACCACTTGTTACCGGCTGCCATCCTGAGAAAGACCCCTTTATCCCCACTCTCTGCTTTCTGCCAGACAGCCAATCTTCTATCCATGCTAGCACCTTGCCTCTAACACCATGGGCCCTTATCTTACTCAGCAGCCTCCTGTGCGGCACCTTATCAAAGGCCTTCTTGAAGTCCAGGTAGATAACATCCATTGGCTCTCCTTGGTCTACCCTGCTCGTTACTTCCTCAAAGAATTCTAGCAGATTTGTCAGGCATGACCTCCCCTTAATGAAACCATGCTGACTTTGCCCTACTTTACACTTCCAAGTATTCAGAAATCTCATCTTTTACAATGGACTCCAAAATCTTACTCACGACTGAGGTTAGGCTAATCAGCCTGTAATTTTCCATCTTTTGCCTTACTCCCTTTTTAAACAGGGGTGTCACATTAGCGATTTTCCAGTCCCCTGGGACCCTCCCTGACTCTAGCGATTCCTGAAAGATCATGAATGCCTCCACTGTCTCTTCAGCTGCTTTTCTACTGTGACTATGATGATGGTGTGAAGCCAAACCGTATTGATGGTTTTAAAATGAAAAGGTAATCCAAGGAAACCCAGCAAATCTGGCAGCATCTGCAGAATAGATACAGAGAGAAGGACATTCTCACTATTGAGGGAGTCCAGCGAAGGCTCACCAGACTGATTCCAGTGATGGCAGGTCTGACATATGAAGAATGATGGGATCAACTGGGCTTGTACTCTCTGAAATTTAGAAGTATGAGGGGGGATCTCATAAAAACATATAAAATCCTGATGGGACTGGACAGGCTAGAAGCGGAAAGAACTTTCCCAATGTTAGGGATGTCCAGAACTACGAGTCACTGCCTAAGAATAAGGGGTAAGCCATTCAGGACAGAGATGAGGAAGAATTTCTTCACTCACAGAGTAGTGAGCCTATGGAATTGTCTCCCACAGAAAGCTGTCGGGGCCAGTTCATTAGATATATTCAAGAGGGAGCTGGATATGGCCCTTGCAGCTAAAAGGATCGGGGGCTATGGAGAGAAAGCGGGAGCAGAATGCTGAAATTGCATGATCAGCCATGATCTTATTGAATGGTGGTACAGTCTTGAAGGGCTGAATGGCTTACTCTGGCACCTATTTTCTGTGTTTCCAAACAGAGTTAGCATTTCAAGTGCAATTAATCTTTGTTAGAATTGTATTGATGGTACAACTGTTTTGTAGATATTTTCCTAATCAACCTAGTCAGAGATGCTATTATGCTGTTCCCAACTAGCCGGTACTTAAACCCAGGTACTCTTGGCTTTGCAGCAGGGATATTACCACTGTACTGCAAGAGTTTTAGGGCTATTTTGTAAATTTAACTTTTTTCTTTTATAAAGTATTTTAGTGTGTTGTTCACGAATACAAATCAACAACAGGGAGAAGTAATTTCTGTTTGAAAAATCATGAATTGTTGATTGATAATATATAAAAATGAGATAGATGACCAATTTAGTTATTTCCAGTTTTGTTCTGGTCAACTGGTGAAGTTAGTAAAGAGGATTGGGACATCCCCCACAGAAATTCAGGGTCTGCTATCTACCTTTTTCTGGTACATGCAAAATAATTTGATAGCAGAAAATGCTGGCCTTCCTTTTAATTTGAAAATTTTCATTTGCTTGCAATTACTCACCTTCCTAAATGTTTATTATCATTCTGTTGTGCATGGAAAGACCACCCTTAAAAACACGCACACCTCATCATTCTTCACCTTTGAGACCAGGGAGTGAGTCTCATTGCCAATGGACGATATTGCAAGTTTCCCAGTCGAGCCCAATCTTTGAACAGCTAAAGTCTTTTACCCATGGTAGGGGCATCCAAAACTAGAGGACATAAGTTCAAGATGAGAAGGTAAAGATATAAAAGGGACCTGACAGGCAGTGTGTTCATGCAAATGGTGGTGTGTGTATGGAAAGAACTGCCAGAGGAAGTGGTGGAGGCTGGTACAATGACAACATTGAAAAGGCATCTGGATGAATATATGAATAGGAAAGGTTTAGAGTGCTATGGGCCAAATACTGGCAAATGGGACTAGATTAAGTAAGGATAGCTGGTTGGCACGGATGATTTGGACCGAAGGGTCTGTTTCCATTGAATCAGAGATAGTAGGAACTGCAGATGCTGGAGAATCCGAGACAACAAGG